ATTCTTTAATTTCATTAATCAGGGTTAGTTCTGCATCTCTTGGATATTTAATTTAATTTTTTTCCCATGGAGATGGGGGAGAAAACAACAACTCTATGCATGAACTTTCCTTTTTATTCTGTTTGCTTCAGTGCTTCTATTGTTGAACTATTTATAGTGTACTTTTCTGCTGAATTTTCTGTAGGTGGCCATTTACCGTTGACATTTAGAACACCTCCTGTTAGTCCACCTAGACCAAGCTATTTGACTGGAATAAGGAGAGTCTGCTCATTGGAATTTAGGCCACATTTAATGAATTCTCCAGATTCTGGACTAGCTGACCCACTTTTAGCTTCATCTGGACCATCTGGTGGTGGTTCAGAACGTAGCTTACTTCCTCAGTCAATGATTTATAATTGGAGTTGTGGTCACTTCTCAAAGCCGCTTCTTACTGTAATAGACGAGTCTGAAGATATAAATGCTAGAAGAGAAGAAAGAGAGAAATTGGCCCTGGATCAAATAGGGAAATGCCAACGGTCCTGTAAGTTAACTGAAACTCCTTCACTCGTGCAGTTACTTGNTGTCAGCTGTGAGTAAGATGCATAATCAAATTGCCAGTTGGGATACAAAGTTTGAGACTGGAACCAAGACTGCTTTACTGCAGCCTTTCTCACCCGTTGTAATTGCCTCAGATGAAAATGAAAGAATTAGGTATTTGTCAAATACAAGCATCTATGTTATTCCAGATTTTTTTAATTTTTTTTTTTGTAATATTTTTAATTTTTTCATGTCAAATATGTTAGAGTGTGGAATTACGAGGAAGCAACTTTGCTCAACAGTTTCAATAACCATGACTACCCTGATAAAGGAATTTCCAAGTTGTGCCTCGTAAATGAACATGACGAGAACTTGCTTCTTGTTGCATCAAGTAAATCTCTCATCTGCAATTGAAAGCATTCACTTACAGATTTTCTATTTATCTTAATAGAGCTCAAACTTTACTCTGCATGTGTTAATTCAGATGATGGTAATATCCGGATTTGGAAAGACTACACGTCAAAAGGACAACAGAAGTTAGTTACTGCTTTTGCTTCAATTCAGGGTCACAGACCTGGGGTCCGAAGTGTTAAGGCTGTGGTGGATTGGCAACAACAGTCTGGATATCTTGTATGTTAATCACATTAACTGGAAATTCATGTTTTTTGTGTTTTAATTTCTTAGGATAATTCCTTGGATACAACTTCTAGTATCGCATTCATAATTTTTACTCTGCCTTGCGTAGTTTGTGTCTGGTGAAATATCATCTATCATGGCTTGGGATTTGGACAAAGAGCAGCTTGTCAATAGCATTCCTTTAGCACCAGAATCAAGCATCTCTGCTCTGGTGGGTTTTACACAGATATATAATTGAGTTGATTAGTGTGCCCCGCTGAGAAATTTGTTCGACGTTTTCATTTGGTATAGTTTTGTGATGTTCCTCTCATATGAACTTCATTCTTAAACGTGTAAGTCATTTTCTGGGTTTATTTAGACATACCAAAAGAAATGAGGCATGCCATGCCATGTTTTGTAGTGATTGAATTGTGCCTCCAGCCTTTTGATTATAAGCAGTAATTTCGATGATTAGTTCACTTAATCATTTGATGGTATGCTCATGAATAGAGATTATTAACTAATATAATAAATTACGCAGGCTGCTTCTCAAGTTCATGGAGGTCAGTTTGCTGCTGGCTTTGTGGATGGTTATGTCAGATTATATGATATTCGCACTCCTGAGATGTAAGAATATCATTTTCTTTTTCTAGCATATAATGTATTCGCACTCCTCCTGATATTCGCCTTACGAGGCATGTTTTAAGACTTTAAATTCAGCCTCGATGTTTCTCTTCTTCAATTTACCTTGTACTATTTAGGCTTGTTAGCGAAACCAGGCCTCACCATCAACCAGGCGAAAGAGTTGTAGGAATTGCCTTCCAACCTGGTCTCGAACCTGCAAAGGTAACCTCTCTCTCTCTCTCTCTCTCTCTCTCTCCTGCATTCTCGATAGTAGGATGTTTCTGACCATTTTCATCTTCCGATTTTTAAAACGCAGGTCGTAAGTGCTTCCCAGGCAGGAAATATCCAGTTTCTGGACATGAGATTGGCGGAAGAGAAATACCTTACGATAGATGCTCACAGGGGTTCCCTCACTGCCTTAGCTGTCCACCGCCACGCGCCGATCATAGCTACCGGCTCAGCCAAACAGATGATAAAGATGTTCAACTTGGAAGGGGACCCACTCGCCACTATTCGCTACTACCCAACTTTCATGGCCCACAAAATTGGCTCCGTTACCTCTCTCACTTTCCATCCATATCAACTCATGCTTGCAGCTGCTTCTGCTGATGCCTGTGTTTCCATATATGCCGACGAGATTTCTCCACCAAGATAGAACTCTCGTCAAAGCTCCAACATTTTTTTTTTTTTAAAAAAAAAGTACATTGTCGGTTGGAGGTAAAGTTCGAAGGGCCCTCACTCGAAAGGTGTATAATAGGGTTATTAATTTAGTCTCCTCATCTTGGATGAACTCGTTTTCTGCAGAGGCTTTGTCGAATAATGTCTGTTTATAGGTGAAGGTGTAAATATGTCATCTCTGTGTTTATTTTTCTTTCATTTATCTTGAATTTGTTGTNATTATGATGATCTTTGACTAATATAATTCAGTTATTGACATACTGAATTGCTCTGTCGAATTTTCTGGTATTACGATAGTCGATCCTAGTGCCCTCATTAAGTTTTTCACTATTGGATTACAACCTATATGTCGAGTATACTGTACAGTAAAATTGATCTTAGTGCTTTTTACTATTGGATTATACACGCGCCACATTAGAATTTTTTACTAGTCTTTTACTACTGGATTATACAGTCGCCACATTAGGTTCTTTACTATTGGATTATAGACTCACCACATGTAAGGTAAAGTCGATCTTATCGAGTTTTTTACTATTTGAATATTAATTCAGTCAGCACATGTAAGGTAAAGTCAATCCTCTTATCGAGTTTTCTACCATTCACCACATGTAAGGTAAAAGTCAATCCAAGTGCTCTTAACGAGTTTTTTTACCATTCGATTGTGTACAAAAACCCACATGGCCCTCACCGGTTTGTACTACATCACACACAACTTAGTAGTCAGCCAACTTTAAGATCAACTTAACCACTAAAAAGAATCACCAATTTCTACTTTTCGAACATTAATCTATGCCACTAACAGCAGCAAGCACCAAGATATTAAAAACCAATCAATTTAAAAACAATCTCAATCTATCTAACATTTAAAAAACAGAAGCATTCCTCTACTTCACCAATAAAACCTCTAATTAACATACGCAAGCATCAAGATATTAAAAACCAATCAATTTAAAAACAATCTCAATCTATCTAACATTTAAAAAACAGAAGCATTCCTCTACTTCACCAATAAAACCTCTAATTAACATACGCAAGCATCAAGATATTAAAAACCAATCAATAAAAAACAATCACAATCTAACATATAAGAACCAGAAGCACTCCTCTACTTCACCAATAAAACCTCTTATTTTCGGTTGCTCGCTCGAAAACCTACAGTGCAATCAATCTACCAACTTACACTCCAAAGTTCTCCCCAAAAGAACAAACAATAAAAGGTTAAAAACAAATATACACCAAATTGACACCCCTTTAACATAGTTGTAACTAACAACTAATCACTCACTTCTTTCCTCCAACCATACTGTGATTATTACTATTCGATCCCGATAAGCCAGACGATCCATTACTCGTCGATTGAAATCTCCCATCAGCATTATTACCAAACACATTGAGATCATCAAACAATCTATATGATGGAACAAACGGCTTTGGCCCAACATTCGGTGCAGCTAAACCCGAACCAGAGTTATTAAACTGTTGCATAGATTCATTATTTAACAAAGGTCTAGGGTTAGATGAAAATGAAGGTCTCGGGTTCGAGTAATTGTAAGGCCGTTGATTGGTGAAATAACCTGGCGTTGCAGCCCAAGGTGGAGGAGGGTATGTGGTCAACTGGGTCGTCTCAAACTGGGCCGGCTGGGAATTGTAAACAGGCTGAGGCTGGAAATTGGGCCTGGGCTGGGGTTGAGCCCAAGGAGCTACATAATTGTTGTAGGCTAAACTAGGGTTTACGGGATAAGGTCCAGTCGAAGGGACATTTTCCGGTCGAGTGTTGTGGTTTGTCGAGCTCGGGGCCTGAGAGGTCTGGTCAGTTGATAAGGTTATGCTGAGTAGGTCTATGATGTCTTGGTCTCGGGTTTGGGCCGGGCCCGTAGTTGGGCCACTAATCGGGACAAGTGCATTGCTCATTGAAGGACTCGATGGAGCTTCTGAAGCCGGGACAACACGCGTTTTCGAGTGTCTGCATTTGGCATAAACATTGGTAAGAACGTAAGTCACCAAAAAATAACCTATTACGATGAAACATAATAAAAACAAAGAAATAAATTAAGAAATTACGATTACCTGCGAGCAAGCAGAGCAAAATCGTCTTCCTCTTCATCCTCTTCATCGATCAAATTCAAACCCTTAGCGCCAGGTGGCGGAGGAGGATCGTTTGATGTTGTGTTATTAGGCGTGCTGGCTTGAGGAGGAGATTTGGGGCTCGATTCGGGTTTTTTTTCAGGTTCTCTTGGAGGGGTATTTGTTACATCGGGTGGTAGTGGGGTACCCGAAGCTATACCGTCATGTTTTGCAATCACAATTTGTAGTTTATCATTAAGTTCAAGACCCTGACCAAGAAGTTCTTCATCCCTGTCGCAACAAAATGATCAAAAGNTCGCCACTTTTAAATATAATAATAATAAACATGTTTTCTCATCCTTTTTTTTACAAATTGCGATTTATGTGCACAATTTTGAGTGAAAGGCTAACCCAGTGGTGGCCAGCAACTGCACCAACTTCCTTTGATTGGTACGACATTGCTCGACGAGATCGATTATCACTTCATCTTTTACAGCCTACAAATCATAATCAGAACAAATAAATATTAATAAAATTTGCCAACATTCCTTTCGTGTACGTGTCGGGTCGGCTAGGAATTTTTTCTCATACCAATCGATCATTTGCATCAACAGCTTGCAACATCTCAGTCAATAGGCCAAGAACATCTTGCATGGAGTTTAAGGTCGCTAAACTACAAAGATTACAAAAAATCAATATTAGAAAAAACTTTGGATGATAGTTACAAATACAAAAAAAACATTAGATTTTACCCAAAATGGGGTTAAAAAAAATATTAAAAAATCAAGAACTTTGGGGGGAAGTTTCTATTTTTCATTTCAAGAAAATATAATCAGCTGACAATATATTTTTTCGAGTCCAATACCTTATACTTTGATCTGCAGCCATAACTTCATCAAGCCTTGTCGAGGAGCTACTCGGCATACCATAACTGGGCTGAGGATGTCTCGATATCGGATGTGTAACGGGTGGAGTCAATATTGGAGCTTCATCCGGTGGACGTTGAGGAAAGTTCACACCCGAGCGCTTTTCATTAAAAAATAAAAAAATAAAATGGTCACTAATTTCCCAACTTTTGCAAAATATTGTCACGAATGGCTTGTTAACGCATCAATTCTTCAAAGCAAGCTGCCGTAAAATTAAATTAAATCAAATGAAAATTTAGGATGATATAACTTACCCTGAGATCCTCATAAGCCATATAATACTGTGGATATCTCCCTCCAGCCCCACCAAATGCCTCGTGCCAAGAGCCAATCAGAGTTAGAATTTTATCCCTCACATGCATATCTGTCTGAAAAAAGCAATGAAAACATTAGTTGAGATCTTCAATTACAGCTCAGCATATTAGAAGAACATGTTCAAAGTGGTTTCTTCGCTTCTGGTTACACTTCCAATTATACTGAAATATTATTAATAAAGTTCTCTATAAAGCCACCCAAATTACAGAAACATAAAAGAGATATGTAAGACCCTCATTTCAAATATATTCACCTAAAACTGCAAAATGAACTTGCCTTTTTCCGAACGATTTTCACCATCTCTGGCAGTATATTTCTTTCGGCTATTTGGAAATGCAGATAATCGCCACAATTCTTGACCATCGTCTCGAGAAGCTATAAAAGACAGCAGCACAATTTCTTAGCAAGCACTTATTATGAAGTATAAGGTAAAGAATCATGCTCATGCTATCGATATGTTATGTAACAAGAAATAATACAACAAAAGGGAGCAATTTCATCATAATATTAATACCGTTAAAGCAAGCAGTTGAACTTTAGGGTTCTTGTGCTGCAACCTTTTCTTCACAGCTTTCACGACATCTTTTGCCAGCNAACTCAACTTAAGAACTTCGGCTTGAACAGAATTTGCAAATTTCTTTTTCATAAAAATTGAAGAAAATGAAGAGATACGGTGAAAAGTAGAAACAAATTCCATTAGAAAGTTTCAATTTTTAACACTGAGACCTAAATTTCTACTTTTCCTTCAAGCTAAAAATCAAAATCGGGCATCCCAAACACAGGAAACAGAACAAGACCAAAGCTATTACTCATTCCAAGCACGCACAGAGCAAAGGGACAGACAAATCAATATCCAACACAAGCACAGAACAGCAAAAAAGATACTTATGAAAAAGTTAAATTTACATGACAAAAAACAAGGCACCAAAGGCAAAGAGACCCATCTACAGAACTGTATATATATCCCAATTTCTAATTTTCCTCCAAAGCAAAAGGTACACACAAACCAAATTGAGCACCCCAAACACAAGAAACGAAACAGGACCAAAGCTATTTCCCATTCCAAACACACGCACAGCAAAAGGGAAGACAAATCAGCATCGAACATAAGCACAGAACAGAAAAAAGAACAAAGGCACCAAAGAGACCCATCAACATAATTGTATACATATCCCAATTTCAACTTTTCCTCCAAGCTAAAAACCAAAATTGAGCAGCCCAAACACAGAAAACAGAATAAGGCCAAAGCTATTTCTCATTCCTAACACGCACAGAGCAAAGGGCCACACAAATCAGTATCCAACATAAGCACAGAACAACAAAAAAGATAACTTAAATAAAAAAGTTAACTTTGCAAGACAAAAACAAGGCACCAAAGAGACCCATCTACAGAATTGTATGCATATCCCAATTTATATTTTTCCTCCAGAGCTAAAAAAACCAAATTGAGCATCCCAAACACAGGAAACAAAACAGGACAAAAGCTATTTCTCATTCCAAACACACGCACAGCAAAAGGGCAGACAAATCAGCATCCAACATAGGCACAGAACAGCGAAAAAATTACACTTAATAAAAAGGTTAAATTTGCGTGACAAAAACAAGGCACCAAAGTACCAAAAGAGACCCATGTCTAGAATCGTACAGATAATCAAACACATACATCTGATTGGAATTAACGATGTCGCAAATATCCATATTCAGAGTCCAATCGGGCCCGATCAAGAACTCGCTCGTCGCTTTCTCGACCCTCACAGTAGCTGAAGATGGCGACGCCATGGACGAGATCATCATCATTTTTCCCTTTGTTTTTTTTTTTTCTTCACAAGACCTTGCCTTAAACCGTAAAACCCCAGAGATTGTTCTTGTGGGCTTGACTGTTGAGGTCTCGCGAGCAACTTCCCCCCCTTTTTTTTCCTTCTTTTTTCCTGCAGCCCTTGCGTTAAAGTTTAGGCCTTTCGGTCTTCTCCGCTTTTGGGCAACTTTTACATGGCCATTATTGAGGATTTTCTTCGCAGGAAAATAGCGCTTTTCTTTATCTTTATTCCTATTTTTTCGATTTTTATCCTCTGATTTCTGCAGAAGTGGTCTTCACACGCGCTCTTGCGACTCGCCGTGTGACACTCGCGGCCAAACATTACAATACAGATATCTATCTAAGCCAACTGTTGGCTCCGTTGTAGAGCAACAATCAATGGGACAACTCATGGGACTGTCTCAAATGTGGGACAGCCCCACATTAAGTTGTCTCATTGACTCTTGGCTCCATAACCGAGCCAACATTTGACTCTGTAGCATTATTGATCTATCTAATGCTGGGTCAACTTTTATTTTTTAGATAAATATAAAAATTGATATTGTGAAAAATAATAAGTATTACTTTTTAAAACATGTAGAATAATTAGTATAATTTATTACTGTTTAAAAATGAAAATTCTATTTAATAAGACGCCTAACACTATGATCACCTAATCCCTCCCAGTTTGATTTTAGTGTTATATTTCCTATGGAATTGAGATAAAAAATGTGGTCTAATTCGATGCATTTACACTTGCAAGTAAAATTATTAAATGGCACGTATATATCCATACATATGTATAATGATTAAACGGTAAAAAAATGATAAAATTTGTGAATGTATTAATTTGTTTGAATTTTTAATGCAATATATTAGATGCATTGTGGTATTGGAGACAATATAATAGAGAAAAATGCTACAAGTACATAATGTATTACATAACACTCACATGGAGTGAGGTCCACTTAATTTTTTTAAAAACAAATCTAGACAAAAATAACCATAAAATGTGACAAAATTGAAACATATAATAGATACTGACTTACGATTTTTCTATTGTGAATGATGTTTTCCGGTTCTTGTCAGCAAGAATGAAGGTTCCATGAAAGTACAAAAAGATTCTCCAATTTGTTAAGGAAATTTTGATATTTTTCAAAGTTGGCAGGAGCAATAATAACAATAAAGATTTTTGGAGGCTCCTATCAATGGATTGGAAAAAAAAAAATGCATTTTCATCCATTATCCACATACTCCAATAATTCGCTAGCATAAACTAAAAATATCACATGTTTTGTGGTTTTCAAGCCTTTGCATTAGCTTACTTATTCCCTTTGCATTAGCTTACTTATTCTTGCTCCTATTTTTCTCTCTTTTCCTTGTTTTTGGGAGCCTTTTATAGTATTAGTTGTTGACTAGTAAAAACAAAATAAACTCTTAGGCGGAAAATCCAGTCACTGAGTTTTTACGTTGGATCAACATATATATACATAAGGTTTTTACCGTTGAATCAATATATATATATATACATATACCAACACGAGTGTATATTCATCCAATGATAAACTCGTAATTACACTAAAGTTACCTATAGTTGATATGTTCAAGTGGAAATTTTAACTATTCTATAGTGCAATAGCCATGCACAAACAGTTTTAAGTTGCCTAACCATTATCTTTTATATTTTTTTTTATCAAAATTGTGTAATCATATTACGAAATGTCATATTATTTATTATATATTTATAATATAATATTTAAATAAAAAATATATATATTTATTGAATAACAGTTACACAATGTAACACAACTAGTAATCATCATGTGCACATGCACAACTATAAATAAAATATTATAAGTAATATGTGTAAATTTAATATTAAAATAATAGATAATGAACATATCACATTTTAAATATTTGATCATTAGTAAAAATAAAATAATATAAGTATAAAATTATTTAAGTATATTAATCACTATATTGATTGAAAAAATATAGGTAATGTAATTTTTATAATTTAGAGGGATCATGATAATTTAATTTAGTTGAAAAAATTATGGTCATCATTATCATCATCATCATTATAGCAACAATTGTTTATAAGATTTTATAGTGGTATGACTATATTTAATATTAAAATAATTCAACTATTTTTTTTTAAGAAAAATATTTCATGAGATATAAATAAAAAAATAATATTAATTTTAAAATAAACTGCTTGAAGAAAAATAATTTCAATAGAATTGTTTATACTTGTGTAATTTCTATTTAGTGTAGATTGTTAGTATTAGCATCAACAATTATATAATATAATAGTTAAAAAACATATGATTACACTTCATAGGGTAAAAAAAATATTAAGTATAGAATTTGTAACTGAAAATAGAGAAAAACCAAAATATTTTTATTAAATGTTTTGCTCCTAATTATATATAGATATATAGATAACTACCCCCAACCATTTTGGATAATTTATATAAAAAAAAACAAAAAACAAAAAAACAAGTAGACACAAATAAAAGAAAAAAAAATCTGGACCAAAATAAAAAATTAGTATTCTCATAATACGTTTTCTTTATAAATTTCATTGAAAAACGTATTCTCAGAATACGTTTTTCAAGGTAAATTACATGAAAAAACGTACTCAGAAAATACGTGCTTTTGATTGATTTCCACAACTTTTTTTTTGTTTTGTTTTGTCTAGTTAACTTATAATTTTGTTTTTTTGGTAAAAAAATCCAACCATTTTACTAATTCCAACTAATGCTATATTGAAGCTAATCAAAAGGCAAAGAAAGTGCAGACATTATTATTATTGAAATGTGGGCCATGAAAAATGATAATGATATAAAGGGTTGAACTTGTTATTATTTTAGTTATATTAGATACCTTCTTTGGAAATTCAATAATTTTGTCGTAGCTGGAGCTTTTGTTTTCTTCCTTTATTTAATCTTCTAATAATTTGCAAATGCACTTGAAATAAAATTGTTTTAAAAGTAGTCTCATCATAATCCATTTAAATATTCCACAATAAAAAAGAAAACTTAAAGTGAATGATAATGGGATTGTTAAGTTATTATCATAAAATAATGGTATACTCAATAAAAATGACATCCAATTTACTCAACTAAGTCCAACAAGTGGAGCTCATGTAAATTGAATAAGTTCAAATTGGAAAATGACAATTAGTTGCATGACCACCATAAAAGTCTCTAGCACTACAAACTTTACCATTCATTTGCTACTTTAGGCTCCATTTTAGACTTCACAGTCAATTCTACGTCTAACTTTTTTGGATTCTTAGTGATAAGATTTACACATATGCTAATGAAACAATTTGATTGATCTGTCATGTTTTTTTTAAGTGTTAATACTAAAATTTGATGAAATATGTGATTCGTCATATTTTCATCTCCATAACTTACTCGGTCATGATATATATATATATATATATATATATATATATATATATTCGTAATGAATATATGAATAAAAGTCAAATATTTGCATGTTATTATTTATTACTTGATGGAATCTAAGGAGTGTTAGTGAACAACTGATAGTGAATTGTATTATTGTGTATATTTGTGTATTTACTGTATTAGTTTTAGGTATTTTTGTAGCACTAATTTTGTGTATATATTCTTGATTTATAGAGAGGTCTAGAATCCGATTGAAATGATTTTCACCAAAAACTTTGTCCCGTATCAAATTGTAGAAGCAAATTTGATTAGGAGATTGTACTAAATGACCGTTTGTTAAATAACGATTTGTATAATTGATTTGAAAATTTTATATTGTTGTGTTATGTTGTGAATCTACTTTATCCAAAATATGACTCCAAAAGCTCAATAAATTAATATTACCGAATAAGTTAATTAGCAGGTTTTGCAGGTCAAACATTTGAAAACAAATTATGGTAGCATAAAATTGTTCTATCTTTCTACGCGAAGCATTCGCACAAAGATGCATTGACACGAGCAAATTGATTAATGCTGTTATTAATATTGCCTCAAGCTTATCTTGAATACGTATCCCTAAAAGAAACAAAAGAAAAAATAAAAAATAAAAAATAAAACCAAAACTTATCCTAATTACGTAAAAACCCAAATAAATAAATACAATGCCAAAATTAGAGTTTGCTTTCGAAATAGGTTCTATTGTCGCAATTTTTTCCCTTTTCCCTTTTTTCTTAACGATTTATTCATAACCTTTGCCCCCACCATATTTAACTTAAGATAAATGTTATAGTTATATAATACAGGTGTACATAACACTCATATTGAGTGAGTCCTACCAAGAATAAAAAAATTAAGTGGACCCCACTTCATGTAGTGTTATGTACACCTCTATGTACATTTATTATGTACTTGTAGTATTTTTAATTCAAACACAAACTTTTTTATCAAAAAATTATCTTTGTTTCTAAGTCGAACTTAGTACAAGTCGAGCTTCGCCTACAATTATCCATCACTAAATGATTACGCTCTTGCTAACATAAGCATGACATTTCACAATATAATTATATAATTTGTTTGTACATTAATGTGAACCTGAGTAATAGCTAAGTTGTCCCACACTAGAATTAATTTGTATAATATTAATCAATACATAACAATTGATTCTTCATTTTATTTCGGTCGTGATTAATCTCCTCCGGATCCTCCCGAAGCTTGATGGAGATCAATAATTTCACGAAGCAACACAACGAGAACAACAACGAAGGCATAATCGACATTTGGATGCACGACTACCGCAAACGTGTGATTCACACATAGAAAACCCGAGTTTCTCTTCATCTACACGATCAAATTTATAATTAGTTCTCGTTCGATTAGAAAATGTATCTAAAAAAAGATTATATAAAATGTATCTAATATGAATACAAATTAAAAAGGTTTCTTTTAATTAATCTCACATTTATATTTCTTATTCTCATTTATATATATAAATGTGACAGTCATTATTGTTGTGCAGAAATTATATATTATTATTTTTTTCTATTCCATTATGAATTGAATAAGCAATTAAAGTTATAAAAAATATTAATAAATGTACTAAATACAAACATTATAGTACAGATTATGTTACATTACAATATAAAAAATGAAATTATTTTTTTTTTAATTTAATTTCCAGCCATACTCCATCAAACATATAGCTGCAAAATGATAAGAAAAATTAGTTCTATAATTAAAATTTAAAATTTAGCTCCCCCCAAATGGTAAAACCTTATAAATTAGTAGTATAGATATATTTAAATGACATATAATTTATAAACTTAGACTATACACATAATAGATGAATTAAAAAAAATAATGAATTAAATAAATAAATTATTATTATAGCACGGTCTATATAATTATTATAGCAAAGTCTATATTGTCAATATTATCATTTACAAAGTTCATTGAAAAATAATATGTATAAAAAAAATTAATATGATCATAATTAATAGTGCAAAATTAACTATCTTTGACTTTCCATTTGGTAGTAATAATAAAATATTTTATATTACTACTATTCAATAAAATGCATGATTTATGCAGATTTGATTATCGCAATCAACATTCTGTTTTATAAATTAAAAAGTGTGTTGAATAAATTATCTCATATTTTTTATTAAAAAAAACTGTTGGCCGTGAAAAAAAATATTATTTCACAATTATAAATATAAATATGGTTAATTTTTATTAAATAATTCCTCTTTTTAAGAAAAAAAAAAGTGGCGGGACAAATTTCTGCATGATTATATCATCAAAACATATCCAAAATATCAATATTTTAATGCAACAGAAACAGAAAAGTCAAAGAATGAGGATTGGCAAAGTCATCATCAAAACCATACTTTCAGCAACAGAAAAGTCATATTAAACAGAAATTGGCAAAGTCAAAGAATGAGGATTGACAAGGCATTGTATGTAATGGCAGATTCTTGCATAATATAGAAATATCAAACATAATTAATAATCAACAAAAAAGTCAAATCTATATAAAAAATCAAAATTAAAAAATACAGCAAATTATGTGGAACATAATTGGACACTATACAATATAGAAAAAAAATAATTTGATTTTCCATCATTATCCAACACATTCAACTTTTACCAAGACATCTGCCTTATATTAAAATCGATTTTTTGCGTAAAAGTTTTAAAAATAAAAATTCCTACAAATTCTTTTAAACATTAAACAAGAAATTTCGAATATGCGATAAATATATCTAAACAAATTTGTTCTAAACTTACCTAATATTTCCAAATTTTGAACAAAATACTAAAAACTTTGAAAAACTTCGGCAAAAGACTTTGAACAACTTCGAAAAGCGATTTTGAACAAGTGTTAGCAAAGCTTTACTTACTGATATGATGAGAAAGAGGAGAAAGAATTGAACTATTTAGTGTTCAAAATCTGAACAAAATACATAAAAGTTACATATGTATGTTATAAACAAATATGTTATAAACTTATCTATATATTTGTTAGTAGAGCTGGACAGATCTGTTAGAAACTTACCTATTTTTTCAAACCCTGAACAAAATACATAAAAGTTTGAAAAAGTTCGACCAATGTCATGTTCTCTTCGAAAAACGATTTCGAAAAACATCTAAATAATTTCGAATTATGTATAAAATATGATATACCTTTGAAGCTTATTCATAAAGAATTTCGACAAATGACACAGATCATTGAAAATAATAAAAAATAAAAACTACGTTTAATAAAAAATATTTCAGCTCTTCATAGATTTGTAATATTATCTCCCGATTTTGACCGACTTGTTAAGATTGAGCAACACAGATTAAGAAATCAGGACGAATATTTATTTTTCGATCACTACTGTTGGCCACAAAAACAACATTTCTCAGATGTTTTATTTTTTTATTTTTTAAGCCTTTACCGAGAGAAAATCTCCAGTAAAATATTTGTTTTGTATTGAATCTCGCCGAGTTTGTCGTAAGATCGGGTTAAGGATTAGGGTTTCAGACAGAGTGAATAACGAGAGAAGCGCAGACATCAAACAAAAAAAAATGGTTTACATCACTCTCAAGGAGTTTATCTCTATTTATAGACATGTTATCATTGACCTGTATTATATTTGATTTTGGCTACCCTAAAAAATTAAGTGGACTTCTAATTTGGGCTTTTTTAATCATTCAATCAATATATTCATTTATGGCCCAAAATTGTCATTTTGTTCAAATGTCTTAAATATTTGGCACATATCATTATTTATCAATCAAATACAATTATTTATTTTATAATATTTTGTCGGTATTTTTTTAGTTTTTTTTTTAAATTTCCTATATGATCTATAGTACAAAATACAATAATTATTTAAAAAAATAAAATCATTATATATCTTAATTTGAAGATAGTGATTGGAATGTGATGGAAATTCTGTTGATAGAAAAACCACAAACATTGTATATAAAGAATTGGTTAACAATATTTAGTTATTCTTTCTTAGAACATTTTTTCAATGATTATATTATGATTTTTACTATTGTTTATATCTTTTTATTATTTTTTGTTCTATTATATTGCTTTCCGTGCAAATGCACGGGTTAAAAACTAGTATGAATAATGTCACGTGTTTGTTGCACCTGAGCTATGATGTTATCGGAGTTTCCGGCATATATGACGCATGAAGTCTCGAAAAAGCTGCCTTTGATTTTGAAGTCGCAAACTTCCTCTGCCGTGTTTGAAGCCATGAACACGTGGAGGTTCATCTTTAGTTGTAGCAATGAAGATTTCTTAACACTAAAAAGTAGATCCTCTGTTTTTTTGCTCTCTCCCCTAAACACTTTAAATCTTCCATGGCTAGAAAACAACTGTAAATTCACAAAAGAAAAAAAAAAATTAAGGGAGGCATGCATAATTTCATTTTTAACTTAGGATTAACGTAAGGTTATTGTTAGATAGGCATAGCGGTTGACCTTATGTTAAATCGGCATAGTAATTTGGTCGACATACTATTCATACAAATTATTCAAACTTCCATTAGAAGATGTCGTGCTTTAAGAATTGACATAAACAGTATGACTATTTGATAATATCATTATGAACTTTTTGTCCAATAGTAAAAAATTATGTGTTTCACACAAGAATTTGTATTTTATTATATATACGTGTTAATAAGCTAAAATGTAATGCTCTAAAAAATATCATAAATAAAATGTTCAAATCATAAGTATATGTTTTTGTTAAAAAATCTACCTTTTTATACAATATATAATTTGTATGTTAGCGATTGTTATTAGGCAGATCTAACTATTAAAATAACATATTTTTTCTAAATATCACATTTTACAACATTGTAGGAATAAGAGATCAACCATCATTTGACAATTCTTAGAATTGAAGTTTTGAAATAACATAATTGAACTTATAATGCCAAGAAAGGGATAATAATAATAATAATAAAAAAAAAAACACACAATGAAAATATCTCATTACCTTCTGGCGAAAAGTGACGATCGTGTTTCCGGCAGCATCAACGAGCCGCTTGCCTTTGACTCTGAACATTAAGTTGCCGTTGACGTCTTTGACCACATACTTCTCCGACGAAAAAGTAAAACCCTTGCGCAAGATAGTGAGGTCAATTGGGTGATCCACGCAGTACTGCGGCCCAATAACTACCGTCCGCGGCGGATCCGCCGCCGGATAGCTCGTCCCGGTGGCCATCGACGGTCAGTGTTTATAAATTGTTTTTAAAAAAAATGATTTTTTTTTTCAGCTCTTAATTATATGAAAATATCTTATCCGCCCTCTGTTTGATTTGTTTGTGATGTAACATGAAGATGACTATCTGGGATTTATATTAGTATATTTCGATTGACTTGGTCCAATTGTAGGTAAGGAAATTGTAAGGAAATTAATGTAGTATTTCATTTGCTTAGTCATGTGGAATTCAAAGACTTACGCGTAGGAAGGTCTAATTATTAGATGAATCAATCAATTATATATTTAACAAAGATGCAAATTAAGCTTTAAAATATCATATTTTTCTTTGTATTGTTATTTAAATTAGTATGATGTTCAATTTGAAACTATATACATCTAATGAAAACGTATGGTTGTCTCACCGTCTGAGAATGCGTAACAGCAGCGTAATTGAATTGGCTTATGTAACACAAGTATGATTGTCTACCAATTGAATCTGTCTAATAGCACGATACATAATAAATTTATGTAACAATACAAGAATAATTGTCTAACTGTTTTGATATGCCTAATAACATCGGCCACCCCGTGGCCATGACTAAATTAAACAACTTTTCAACTTCTTCCATAATTAATGTTTTTCATGATTCCAAACCAACTACAATTCTTTTGTTAGGCTACTTAACAGTTAAGCAATTATATTATTTCAACATATGTACATTTTTTATATTCAAAATCTCTATTTTAAAATACAATATAAATAAGAGATTGACATTACATATGATAGATATATGCTTTTCGTAAAGTCGTATATATAATTGATTAATGATTAGAAAACGTAACACCAAAATGACAATGACACATATATAATATCATAATATGTCTTTATTTCATTCATGTGATTGCAAAATACATAAACAAGGTACAACAGTATCTCTCTAAGAAAATACATAAGCTCATCATGCATACACCTAGATAAATTAAGCTGATGAAACACAAGAAACTATATATGGAGTTTAATTAGATTATTATAAATCTCTTCATCATCAACAATATTGGCTCGATATTCGCATCTCATCAATCGCGAATTAACATTACTCGAGACCATCCGTGTTGATTTCCTCGAGAAGCACGATAAGTGCAACGATAAAGGCATAATCGACGTTCGGATATACTGTCACCCCAAAGTTGTCTTTGCCTAGCAAAAGACTTTGGGCAGTGTGGTTTCTTTTCATCTGCAAATAAAAATAAAAAATAAAAATCAATCAAAACAAATATCAATCTTCATTCTGATATATATTTCGTAAAAAAAGTTCCGATTTTTTTTTTTTTTTTTTTTTTATAAAAATCAGAGTTAATTTTTCGCAAATCTCCATTTAAAACTTTAATATTCAACGGGCGCTACTTAACTACCAAAAACAATTACACAATTTAAACAGCTAAGAAAGATCTACGCATGTATAAAACTAACAGTTCAAGATAAAATCCAAAATAGTCATAAGTCTCAAACCATCCATGAATAATCAACTACTTCAACAGAAGTTCAATGGTCTAACCAACATGTTCGAAAATATATAAGGAGGAAGCATAATTAACCTATTGAAATGTTTGTTTCAGCCAACTTAATAACCAATTTTAACAAATATTTTTATTATATTAACTAATTTTTCAACCATCAGTTATAAAACATAAATAATCAGTTTAAAATTCACTAATTATAAGCTATCGACTGACTTCAGCCAGATTTACCAAACATATTTGGAGTACTATCCAGTTTTGCTATGGAATAATCGGATGACACGATTTATGGAGCCATCCAATCCACATTTATTCACTAATAGTATATTGACACGTGTCCTACAATAAATACACTTTGAAAGTGATGGATGACTCTATAAGAAAATCATCTAATGGCTCCATAGAATTTCTGGAATACTATCACATATAAGTTCGAAATACACTTGAAAGAGTATTATTTTTTATATGAGTTCAAAAATTAAGATATTTAAGATATGTTCCTACATGCACAAGAAATCTATATAAGGAAAGTTTATCTATTTATTTATATAGTTACTCGAATTTCTCATTTACTTGTTAATTAAATTGCATGATCTTATTGTGGTATTGTCTTGTAGGGTTGCGGCCAAATGGTGGGTACACACACACACGAGATCATAGGAGATCAAGAAAAGATTGGCTAACTAAGGAAAGAAGATCTCATGAAAGAGAAGAAGAGTCCTAATGCTATATGGACTTTGGATAAATTTGGAAGGAAATCAAGGAATCTTGAAGGAGACTCCACAAGAAGGAAGTCATATAAATACCTACCTTGAAGATTGAAGTAGGGTTGCTGAGCTTATCATTTACACACGCCACCTTCAAGCTTCAAGTGTTTTTCGTGCTTACATTTTTTATTCTCAATCCAGTTCTTTGTAATCTTGGATATCTAAGAACTGAGATTATTTTGATTGTGTTTTTCTCATTTCATTTGAGTCATTAGTCATCGACACTTAGGGAGTAAGTGTTAGGAAATAAGTCCACGGGACGTGGCTGTAGAAGTAGTTGATAGGTTGGTTCATAGTTTGGCTAGGCTAGAAGGGAGTTCTAGTTTTTGTAAGTCCAAACTATGTTCGAAAGTAATATCAATAAAAGAGCTCTGAGTGGAAGTGAGATGCTTTCCTGAAGAGTTTTTAAATCTTTGCTTTATTGCTTCCGCTATTTTTAGTCTTTACTCTTGTTCGTACAACGTTGAGTGCACTCGCGATAAATTTATACGTTCAATACTTATAAGTTATGAACTATTTTTTTCAGCAAGATTTACCATACATATCTGGAGTCAGTATCAAATATTAATTACGAAATTCATTTATAAGCAATTGACTAAGTTTTTCAACTAGATTTACTAAACAATCTGAAGTTAAGTTTAAAATTCACTTATAAACTATCAAAATGACTATTTTAACTGGATTTACCAATATCCGAACCTACAAATTCTTACCACACAACCCTCGTTAAACTCATTTAGTGCGTAGTTAGTGCAATTTATTCCCTCAAAAAACGAAGTATAATTTATTACCTTCTGCCGGAAAGTGACGATAGAGTTTCCGGCAGCATCGAGCAAGGTGCGTTTTTCGTGGAGGCTGAGCAGCTTGCCTTTGACTTTGAACATTAGGTTGCCGTTGACATCCGTGACTCCGAAATTCCCCTCCGACAAAGTCAACATCTTGCGCACGATCGTCAAGTCAACCGGGTAACCCACGCAGAATTGTGGGCTGATGACCGCCGTTGGCGGCGGGCCTTGGCTGTGCGCCACCGCCGGATAGCTGGTGGTGCCTGGCATCATCATATTCGAGTTTTTGTTTCAATAGATTTGAGCTCTTATTAATAGATTATCTTGTGGGTGCTCTTTTAAGCGTCTTTTCTTTTTCGGTGGAGCATGATTTTTGTGTGGGATTTATATAGAAATAGTTGTTAATTTGTTATATTTGTTATTGTTAGTTGATTGGTCCAAAATTGTGGATGAAATAGAGTGGGAAATTTCATGTGACGCGTTGACTGACTTTTATGTATGCTTTGTTTTGTTTTTAGTTTATTAATTTATTAATATATGTTTCACATATTCTTCTACCTAGCTAGTGTGAACTTTGATATATGAACACCTATATTATTAATTCTAAAATTATCATCCTTCCGTATATAGATTTTTCGAAATTATGTCGGTAGTTTTTAATTCTATAGGTCGGTTTTTGGGTTTTGTAATTTTAAATGGTTATTCGGATTAGTCATATAGATCTTGATTTTAATTCATAAACTATAAAATACTTTACTTATGTTTTTCGATTTTTTAATTTTGGAATAAACATGCCGAGTGGTCAACATGGTCAATTTCTTCGCGGCCTGGAACCCTGTGGATAGAGCAGAGCATCTTTTGAAAAAGTCGTTCTAGCTTGAAAAAATCTCAAATATTTCCTTTTCTTTTACTAATTTTATTTAAAGGGCAAATTGCAATTGCTATTTTTAGGAGCTTTTGGATAAATTTTCTAGCCGAATGCAGCTATGAAGTTGACACTTGAAAGATAATCGAACTAAACTTGGAAGTTGTGACTTGTGAGATATCACTAAGGAGGTGATTGGATATGAATTCAACTAGTAAAAAACTAGTTTTTTTTTAACTATAGTTAAGTTTGAAAAAAAGTAGTATGGTTAGTTGTTAGTGGATATATTAAAATAATATTTAAATTAAAATAATTAAAGTTCATTTGATATAAATGTAGGAGAAAATGATTGGAAGTGATGGTTAGTTAAAATTATATGAGTGTGTGAATAGTGAATTAAAGTTGATGTGATGTGTAATAATGATTTTTTGATATTATTTAATTATATTGATAATATTGGAGATAGTGGAGTTGAGTTAAAGTTGAGTTAAATTTGAGTTTTGAGGGAGATATTTACTGTAGAAAATATAAACAATCACACCCTAAATGTTGGTAAAACTAATATTTAAATTAAATTGTTAAAATTCGATTCGATTATTAAAAGCTCGAGGTCAAACTCGTTTGTTTACTTGAAAGAGTCAAGCTCGTACAAATTATCGAGTTTGTTTATAAGTCAAGTCGATCTTGTTTGCGAACAATTATTAAATTTTTTTATTATATATATTTTTTTGATTAACTGAAACAATCGAACCGAATTTATTCGTCAATGAACATTTTAGTATTTAGATTTATTAAACAAGTCAAGTCGAGGAGATATTTCATCATCTTCAACAAGCAAAGCTAAAAGAAAAACGTCTTCGTTAGTTTATTAGACGAGCACAAGCTCAAACATAAATTACTCCACTGGATTAATACCATATCGAATACGTACATATTAACTATATTGTTGGGCCATATTGCAGGCCCAACCTAGAAAGCCCATATAAGTTTCCTCCATGCCTTATTTTCCCAATGGCCCAAATAAGCCCAAACTTTGGCTGTTCTTGATTCATCACTTCCAAAGCTTCGGGCAAAATGTTGAGATTAGCAGCTCACTGTAAGCTCATATTAGCAGAAAAAGCTCATCCATGGCGGAAACAACAAATTACCGCAATTAATCCCATTATTTATAGCTTTTTAGTTAGCTCAATTGCTCCATTCTCATCGTCGTCCTCAAAAAAATCCTCATCCCTGCAAAATCACTACATACGAAAGCGTAGAAAATGGCCGATCAAACCATTCGAAACGCAGCGGCACGACGCTTTCGCTTTGCGTCTTGCCAAACAGTCCTTCAAACAATCAATAAGAAGAAACAAAATCCACCTCCTTTCCGATCTCATCAGCTCGTTTTCTGCTTACGAGATAAACCCTAACCCCCAATCGTACCATCTCCTCTTCAAAATTTTGATCCAAAAGCGACCCCCAAATTGGACCGACCAGATTTCACAAATTCTCGACCACATTGAGAAAGTCGAGAGCTTTGAGACGCCCGAGTCGATTTTCACCGACCTGATCAAATTCTACGGCGATGTCCGTATGTTTAATGATGCTATTGAGCTCTTCTCGAGGATTCCCAGGTTAAGATGTGTGCCATCAGTGGAAGTTTTGAATGCTTTGCTTACAGTCCTTTGCAGGGATGAAAAGGGCCTTGAAATGGTTCCTCAGGTTTTAGTTACAAGTTCAGAAGTAATGAAAATCAGGATTGAAGAGTCAACTTTTGGGGTATTAATCAAAGCCCTCTGCAAAATTGGGAATTCGAATAATGCTTACGATTTGCTAAATCATATGGTGGCCGAAGGTTTTGGCGTTGATCGAAAAATCTGTTCTTTGATGCTTGCCACAATGTGCAGGCAGATAAACTGCAATGGCAATGACATTATTCGATTTGTCGATGATCTGAAGAAATTAGGGTTTGAACCGAAAAGGGATGATTTTCGCAATGTGATTGGGTTTTTGGTGAGGAAGGGGAAATGTATGGATGCTTTGGGCTTGTTCAAGCAAATGAAATTGAACAGAATCAGGCCCGATATCCCGTGTTACAATTTTCTGCTTGACGGGTTGATTCGTGATCGTGATTTTTCGAGAGCAGATAAACTGTTTGACGAATTGCTTGTCTTGGGCTTGAATCCAGATATCCACACTTACAATGTCTACATTAGTGGTCTGATAGTGCAAAAGAAAATCGATGATGGAATTAGAATTCTTAACTCGATGGAGGATTTGGGATGTAAGCCAGGCCCGAGCACATATTGCTCGATTTTAAGAGCACTGTGTGAAGTTGAGGAGATGGGTCGGGTAATAGAGTTTTTGAACGAAATGCGTGGAAAATGCATGCAGATAAATGGTGATATGTACGAGATTCTGATCGATGGTTTTGTAAGTAATGGCGATGTGAATGGAGCTTTTAGCTTTATAAGGGAAATGTTTCGTGAGAAATTTTTCGTTCCTAGACGAACGAGTTTGGGTAAAATCGTGAATTGGTTGTGTGAGACTGGTATGTGTTCTAAAGCAATGGAGCTGCTTGGAGAAGAGGTTGTAAAGGGTATTTTGGAAACAAAAGGCCATGTTTTTTAGAATGTGATTTGATTTCTGGTCTGAGGTTTAGTTTTGGACAGAATATTGTGTTCTTGAGGGTTCATTCTATCACAAAAAATGCAGGGAAAAAAAGGGATAAAAGATAAAAGAAGAGAATAGTGTGTTTTAAAATTGAATTTTCCTTGGATATTTGTGTAATTGTATCCATTTTACAAATCACTACACCTTTGAGAGGTATTATTGATTATGTTTGGTAAGCATATAAGCTAGTTTATATAGCTTATTTGATTAGTTTATAAAGTTTCTTTATTCAAATAAGCTTGGTTTGGTAGAACGAGTTTTTTCAAAAAGCTCGAGTTTATTTCATAAGTTTATTTGAGTAGTTTTTCAAATAAATTCGTTGAAATTTTTATTTCAGCTAGTTTATCAGTTTATTTTACCACTTTTATCATATAAGCTACTATTTGAGTTATAACTCATAAGCTATAAGCTCGCTTATCAATAGTTTTATGTCATTGTCATATTATTGCAAAATGCAAATCTCTTCCTAATTACCATACTTGAAATTCACCCCTAATTACCTGGTTTTTGCCTTAAAGGTCCTACAATGAGTCAATGACCAAATCTTTAAGCAAAATGAAAGCAAGTAGAATACGTAACTACTTGGTAGATTTTGTCACCAGACAAGATTTGCTATAAATTGAACTAAACGTCCAATCAAATGATAATTATTTCAACCAATTACTTAAAAAATTTCCAGCATTTCTTGCATTGTAGAACCATCCTGCTGTTTCTCCTTCTAAGAATCTGATCTCTTAAGTATAAAATAAATAAATAAATAAAAGAATTAAAAAAATTAGACTACTTGAGATTTTTGCTGTCTTAATCTGTTCAACCAAATGAGGCTAGGACCATAAGTAGGTTTTGACTTGGACAAGCATAACAATCAACGGAGTTGAAAATCAGTCACTTCATAGTGGAACTTTTAAGCTGCAAAATTTGGAATTCTAAGGATGAAAAAAAAAAAAAATTATAAAATTGTAATCTTTGGATGAGAGTTCATATGCCTACAGAAGTTTGATTTTGAGGTCTCAAATGTTATGTATTATGAAAGGAATCATTGGTGTGAAATTTTTGTGAAGATTAAACCGTAATGCGGAATGTAGTGTAGTCACTGGTAAGAGTTAAATCTACATACATGTTTATATAGTAATATAATAAATTTTAAATTATTGGTCAATTTAATTTAACCACAATTTTTATTTTTTGTCACAGTCATGAGGTCTAATTAATTATGTTTCTCATTATTTTTGGAAGATTTGCTTTTACAATTAAGCAACAAATTATGTCTCCAAAGAGGGAGAAACAATCCCTAAAAGGAACTAGAATTTGTATGGTAAAGGAAAAACAATGATTTTTGAAGGAAATTAATAGAATTTGTATGGTAAAGGAAATTTCAACTTTATTATCTTGTTCTAACTAAAATAACAGCTATTTAATTTTGTTGGCCTACATATAGTAGCTAAATTTACTCTTATTATAGGGAATATTATGAACTAGATTTCATATGTAAAATTATTATTAATTTTATCAGGTAGAGTGATTAACCATTACACAACCATACTTTTTTCGACATATTTAAATATTTTGCACTTATATGTCACATTTTTAAAACCATGTAAATAGAAGTATAGCATCCAATCTACATAAATATTAACAGCCTAACAGAAGAATTTGTGTTATTTCATCCCCAACTCCATGAAGAAAAAATAATGTTTTTCGAGAAACTCATTAAAAATTTAATTCAGAATGTCTAACTTAAGCATCTCATTAAATATTTAAATGTACCGTTGATTTATTTATTTACTTATTTATTTATTTATTTATTTCTAGTCTCATCTATAGGTGGGGTGTGATATTGCAAAGCACTTGTCCAATTCTGGACCCATTTTTTGAAGCTCATCTGATAGATCTGCCGGTAATGACTAATGAGGATTACTTATTTTAATTCATCCACATCAATTTTATTATTTTTATTTTTATTTTCTGTCCATATGCCTTGAATTTAACAAATAACATCAAATTTGTTGAACAAGCTCATGTTTTAGTTAAACTCATCTTATGTTACAACATATAATTTAGCCGAAATCATCTGGTAAGTGGTAACTACGGAAGACCAATCATACTTGCAAAATTTCACGAAAAATCTTACTTTAATGAACTTCTTTGAACTTCCCCCTGAATTTTAATTATATCAAGATATACTATAATACTAATAATATATTGTTGTGCAAAGTTGGCTACTTTTTATGTAAACACAGAGAAATAGGGAGTAATGGAAAACCGCTATGGAATTAATGAATAATTAAATTTACCTAAAATGGACCTTATCAGTTATTACAAATTAATGTTATCAACAAATTTACCTTTAACTGATGAGCTTGAAATCCTTGGACAAAATCAAATAAGATTGAGTGGTCATGATGGGGAAGACAGGCACATGAAGAACTAACTCATTGCATCTACAAAGATAATCTGGGCCGTCCATTTTTTGCAAGCACCCGAAAATTATATACAACAATAATAATAACAATCGATCTGAAAAAATGGCGCGTGCATGAAAATGAGTTAGTAATGCACGTGCCCTGCTTCTCCATCTTGTTCGACACTCACCTTGTTGTCTCGAGCTGTTTAGATATAATTTTTCTTTTTTTTTTCTATTTATTGTTTTAATCTTTTGATCTTTATGTTGTCAGGGAATTTGCTCTCAGATAATAAAAGTAGAAGCCATTAGTGTTCTTCTCACCTTATATATAGCAGGAAAATAAAAATAAAAATAAAAATAAAAAAACTGGGAACTGTTGGGTGTGCGTATCTTTAGATATGGGCTGGGCTATGCTAGGCCTTTAAGGTTAGGCCCAGCCCATCCTTGCCTTTTGCAGCCTAAAAAGCTTTTTCCAAGGTGTGAGAGGACACCCCCACTATTAAGTATACCAATAATGATGTTACAGCACTAACCCAAAGTAATTTTTTTTTTTTTCAAAGCATATGCTGCTTAATTACAACATAATACAACTGTTAAATGAAACGAGTCGCTCGTGAACTCGGTGAAACGAACCGAACTCGAGCTCATTTAAAATTCAATTCTTTAATCAAGTCGGGCTAAGTTCGGCTCGTTAAAGCTCGAAAGGAAGAATTGTTATATTTTTATAGCTCGACTCGCCAAAGCTCGATCTGGACTCGTTAATATTGATAAACAAGTAGAGCCTGAGCTCAATTACTAACTAGTTTAGTTGACGAGTAGAACCGGTCAAGATCGGCTATTACATAATTAGGGGTGCAAATTAATAAATCGAGCGCTCGAACCAATACTCGACTCGAGCTCGGTCAAACTCAAGCTCCAGTCAAGTTCGAGCAGTTCAATCAAGCAAACGAGTCGAGCCTCGTAAGTTGTAAGGTCGGCAAGCCGCTTACCTTTTATTTACATAAACACCACGTATAGCTTAATTATCAACATTAGAGCACCAATGTCAAAATTGTCTGTTTAGATTTAAAATAGTACCTTTATATAATTACATTTAAAGGTTGGTTGTTAAAATTTGGAACCGAACTTAAACCAAGTCGAGCATCGAGTCGATCTCTAGCATTCTTTCACGAGTCGAGTCGAGCATCATTTTGCATGACTCGTCAATCTTGAGCACTAGAGAAAAAAGTTCGATCTACGCTCAACAAATTCAATGGTAAACTCGACTCTACTCGTTTACAACCCTACTGATATTAATGGCTCGCGCACGAAGTCGACTCGCTAATGATTGACTTGAGCTCGAGTACCATGAGCCAAACTCGAGCCCATTTACGCTCTACGAAGAAGCGCGCGGTATTGTCTTATTTTATGGTTGGGAGTATTGAACAAGTTTTAATGCAGTAGGGTAGTTTAAATTAATGTATTTTATGTTATTGCATGTTCATAGAACATGTTGGATGAATGAGTTGCAAATGCAATAATTGTACAAGCATTATTTAAATAGTGACCAAAAAACACTATATATTGTACCATAGTTCTTCATTTGTTTAAGAACCTTTCTGAAACTGTAAAAAATAATAAGATTAAAAAAAAAAAAAAAAAAAAATCCTTACATACTTACNAAAACAGTGAAAAACTGTACACTGACAACTGTTTAGCCGGATTTGATCTCTTTAAAAATGCTCATTTTCTTGAATTGGCTTTCCATTGGTACATAGGAGATGAATATAGTAGAGACAATCATTAATTGATTCATGGGAAAAGGCTACAAGCTCTATTTCACACTTTAATAAATTATAGTTATTTCTTTTGCAATCAAGGTATTAAAATATGCAGTGATTTCTATGTGGCCTGTTTTGTTTATATAATATATTTTTTTATTTTATGTCAAATATATTACACAATGAACATTAATACTTTTTTCTAGTTAAATCATCAAACCTGAACGGTATGGGCCGAGGTCGGGCCGAGATGAAGAAATTGTACTTCTCTTGGGCCAAAGTTATTAACTTCCAAGTTCCAAAGGTATAATATTGGGCTTACTGCACTTTTCAAAGCAAATTGGCCCGACAAGGATCCTTTTGTTGGTAAATTCATATGGCTTTCCAAATAGATTGACAAAAAAAAATAATAAAAAATAAAATGAAAAACTATTTCTAATGAGTTAATATCGAATTTTAAAATTAAGATTAAAAAATATGAATTCTTATATTATTTGGTATAACTGGTGCATTAATATCGATAAATGAGCTGAACTTAAGTATTTTCAGTTAATGAGTCGAGTTTGACTCATTTGGTGAAGGCTCAAGCACAAGTTCGAGTAATAGGAACTTGATCTTAGTTCCGAATCATTTACGCAGACACTCTAAATAACAAAAGTTTTATAAAGAGTTTGCATTTTTACTTTTTATATCACAATCAATAGATAAAAAGTCATTATCATATATGATTTCAAACAAAGAATAACTATTTTAGTGGACCTGATCAATTCATGACTCGTATGATTTTTATTTTGAAAAGCAATCTTTGTAAATAAATGAATACATAAATAAATAAAAGATACAAAAGGAAAATGACTTAGTGGTTGGTAGGGCTCGCAAAATAAAATGCTTTTGGTAACGAGTATATAATCTTTATTACGTAGAATAATTATAGGCTTTGAAACCATGATCCATGTGGATTTGGTCGGGCGTAATTATTCCTATATTTAAACCTAAAAATAAGGTGAAGATCGATTTTTATCAAATCGAATTGAAGTACTAACTAAGAAAAATTCGTAAAAAAAACTAAGAAAAATCCGTAAAAATTTCTATCTATTGAGCCTAACAACTGTTTGACTCGTCAACTGTTAAACGAGCTCGAGTTCAACTAATTTTATCAAAGGAGCTGGAGCCAAATCTGAATCTTAACTGATTCCACTCTGTATTGATTAAAATTGAATGATTGAACTTTCAAATTGTATAATCTTTTAGCATGATGAATTGTGAAGTGCACAATGATATTGTTGGAGGAAAAAGAAAATGCATATAACACACTACTCCAAACAATTTATTAATAGTTTGTTCTTTTTGTTTTTTTCTGGAGAAACAAAAATTCGGTTAAGAGTTCAAGACAAAAAACCCGATCCGATTCAGATACTCTGCATCAAAGCCCACCATAACAGGCGCCAGATGCGGCGGAATTCCCAAAAATAATGACCATCATCCTTAAAACTCCGAATAAATAAATAAATATTTTTTTATTAGAAAAATAAACATTTTTTTTTCGCCAAGCATACATAAATATAATTTTCGTGACCCGTCATATTTTTTAATGGATATTTATTTTATAAAATATTATATTGTTGTTTATATTGTTTTTCTTTAACAGTCCACTCAACTCCTTTCCTCGGCTCCTCACAGATTTTTCACCCAAATAATTAACAGAACCCCTCTCTCTCTCTCTCTCTCTCTCTCTCTCTCTCTCTACAGCATTTACATGTATCGGCGGTTGGCGGTGGGGAAGCTGACGGTCGGAGAATTGACCAAATCCTGCTGGGTTTGAATCGGGGAATCTCGAAAAAATGCCGATTAGCAGATACGAGATTAGGAACGAGTATACTTTAGCCGATCCGGAGCTGTACCGGTCCGCTGATAAGGATGATCCGGAGGCGCTGCTCGAAGGCGTCGCCATCGCCGGGTTGGTTGGAGTTCTACGCCAGCTGGGTGACCTCGCCGAGTGAGTCCATAATTATTTTTTTTGGGGTATTTTTCGTGGGTGATTTCGTTGCAATTGGGGTGTTTTATTTATCGGAAATCGGAATGTGGGCAATTGGGATTTCTGTGGCGGTGATTCTGATTTTTTCGCAGTTTTGAAGATTTTAGTTTAAGCTTTTTTCGTATAACTGTGTGTGCATATATGTGTGTAGTAGCTTTGATATATTTGGTTTTGTATTTGATAACAGATTGGAGTTCCAGATGGAGCGTGGGTCTTATGAAAATAGGATAATAATTTGGCATTTTCTCTATTAATAGTTAAAAATTTAATCTTTACTCAGCATTTGTCTTTATTGGTCCTTTTTCCCATTTCTTTTTCAATGGGTACTCTACCAGTCAAGTTTGTATTCTTTCTATCTGATGTGTGGAAATGTTGAGTTTATGGAGAGACTTAATCCCTTAATCCCTTCTGTGTTAGACTTTAATATTACAATTTCTATTAGTCGGTTTCCTTGTTTCTCTGGTTGTGATGACTGGTCAGGCATTTTTAGTGTTTTACGAATGTCGATTTGATAATGCATTTCCTTTTCGCTTACGTGAAGTTGTATTTCATGCTTTTCATTCAATCACAGGGCTCGGATGTTTTTCTTTTTCTTTTCTTTTTTTTTTTTTGGAAAAGTGGAAATATGATNAAATAAAATTATCGTCTACGGAGAACTTCCTAATTGCTTGTTTCTTGTAATTACTGAAGGTTTGCGGCCGAGATTTTTCATAACTTGCACGAAGATGTTATAGCGACTGCCGCAAGAGGTCATGGTTTAATGAGTCGAGTTCAGCAGCTCGAGACTGAGATCCCTTCCATCGAGAGAGCATTTCTTTCCCAGACGGATCATTCATCATACTTCAAACGAGCTGGTTTGCTAATCTTCTGTTTTCTATGATTTGCTATCGCGAATTCACCCTCTTGTTTTTTGTTCATTGAAATCCAAATCATTCGTTTATGTGTAATGTGGTATAAATATTGTGATGCAGGTATTGATTGGCATCCCAATATACAAGTAGACCAGAATATAGTTACCAAGGGAGATTTACCTCGATTCATAAGGGATTCCTATGAAGAAAGCAGGCCTCCTCCTCGCCTGTTTCTTCTTGACAAGTATGCCCTACTCAGTTTTAAGTTGATTAAATCTGTCCTGCTTGAAAATGAAAACTTTTATGTGAAAAAATAACATCTTCAACACAGGTTTGATGTTGGTGGTGCTGGAGCGTGTCTAAAGCGTTACACTGATCCTTCATTCTTTAAAGTAGAAACTTCTGGAATGACTAAAGCAGATGTCTCTAGGGAAAAGAAGATCCGCAAACCAAAGGTAATAATTCCTGAAGAAAGAACTTGTGCTTTGTAATAAGATCAAGAATAGATCTGGAGTGGGGATGGGATGCTTGGATATAAAATATTTTGATTTTGTTTGGATTTTTTTGGTTTGGTATTGTTAGTTTTTGAAAAAAGTGGTATGGTTAGTTGTTAGTGGGATCTGGAGTTTATATTAAAATAACATTTAAAATAAAATGTTTAAAGTTGATTTGATGTAAAAGTAGGAGAGAAATGATGTGAAGTAATGGTTAGTTAAAATTATGTGAGTGGATGAACAGTAAATTAAAGTTGATGTAATGTGTAAGAATGATTGAATGGTATTATTTAACTATATTGATTATATTGAGATAGTGGGGTTGAGTTAAAGTTGAGTTAAACTGCGTTGATTATTTTTGCATTTGTTGAACATTATCGTTTGCATGTTTATCAGAAAAAAGGGCCACGCTTGAGAAATCGAGAAACTACTGCAGTTTTACCGTCATCACATACCAAGTGAGATATATATATCATATATGTGATATCTATCCCTGTTTTCCTAACAAATAATACCATATTCAAACTGTTGATGAAAGAACGAAATGCATCTCATTCTTTTCCTTAAAACCCTTTGTAGACTCCATCAGCTTTTCATGGAGGAGCGTATCGAGACTGTGGCTACCAACACGACTACTCACCGTGCTAAACTAAAAAGAAAGCTGAACGGCTTCCCGTTCTGCACGAGAACTGAACCGAGTTATATGGAGAAATTACTGAACTATCCTTCCCTAGATAATAATAATAATGAATATGCGTTGCCTACGTTTGATCATCATCACGAGTCTGGTCTTGAAAGAGTTGAAGTTCTCTCAGTGAGTCCTGACCAGGAGACTTTGGGCAGAAAAAGAAGTCCTCCTTCATCTCCCGATAGAGACGAAATTATGTTGAGTTCTTCTCTATACAAATCTGGTGAGATGGCAATAGATGATACAATCTGTTGTGAGGTTCCTGATATGTATCCTAATAGTGCAATGGGCAGCCGCTCGTCAACTCCTGATCGGGTGTCTGGTGAAAAAGTTATAGCCATGGATGGAGAAAGCAGCAGCTTAAATGGTTATCAGTCGGAAGATAATGAGGTGGAGTGTAACCGAACCAGCTCACATATAAAAAATGAATCTTTGATTTCGTATGAAAGCAGTGAAAATCTTCAGATAAGGTCGTGCGATTCTCGATCGACAGTATCGGACGAAGCAAACGTCTCGTCGAGGAAAGAAATGACCGTTTTGTCCTCTGATTCTCCGAGTACCTCGTATGAAAACGCACAACCTGGAAGAATTTTGTCTGGAGGATTTTTTTCTGTAGCGAGAGAAGGTACTTCAGACGGGCCTGCATCTGGAAAAACGGACTCGAAACTGGATAATGAAGAGAATAAGTCTAACTTGGGCATGGATTCACTTTGTTCGCCTTGTTTCTCCGAATCTGACATGCAGTCGGAAGATGATTCTCAAAGATGCTCTGCTAGAGAACATCAGGTGGATGACCCGAATGGTAAAAGCATACATTTTACGTCTACTGTTCCTTATATTCACCATCATACAGTAAATAATTCGGATAGAATTATCAGGAATAGTTTACCTGAATGGGATGGATCTGATCAAGAGGACCATAATTCATTGGAAAATGGTACTCTGAATGAGACAACTTATTTTACCAACGCAATTCCTGGTGAATCGAATGATGATGTGTTTGAAAAGTTGCCAGAAGAATTTCCACCCGAGCATCCTGACATTGTATATAATGGAGAAAGTATTGTGCCCATGATTTCAATAGAGGAAAATCCAGTTGATGTATTGGATGATAACGAGTGTTCAGGTATTCCGACTGAATCCCCGAATCAATTCCCATGTTTCATGGAGAATTTCCTTACGAAGAAACTCGAGGAAGAATCACCGAACAATGCTCGTTTGTTAAATGCTGAAGACAGTCGTTCTAATAATGCCTCAGTTGACAATTGGGCTGTATTTACGAATTTATTGTTTTCGGCTCAAGCAAACCCTTCTGATATTCCAGATGCAGCCTCTGATGTTATTCATAAAGAAGACAAAACAATAAACGAGGCTCGTGTTCTTGAAGATTCAGGCCCCGATGACCTGATTTCACCGAATGAAGTTCAAGTTTGGTTGGATGAGTACAATTTAGGGGCAGATAAACCATCTGATGCGGACATGGCTTCTTCTGCGCCTGCACTTTTGCACGATGTGATAAACGTTGATATTTCTGCACAGGTAGGTACAGATAAATTGATCGAACATCATATTAATAATGGGGCAGTGGACCAAATAAGAGCAGCTTTATCTGATTCTCAAAAGATATTACCCGACAATAATGATAATAGTAAAGACGAACCTGAATCAGAAATATCAGCTGCTATCCCTAATTCACATCGTGATTGGGCCTTGGATTTGGACTATCCCGATATAACTCATCTGCTTGAGGAGCAAAGCATGCCTAATGCTCCATCTTTGCCTTCCAATTATGAAAATGAAGAAATCGGTTTTCTTCCCAGAGAACGACTCGATCAAACGAGTCTAGAAGAGGTCCCAGTCGTGTTGCCTACAAATAACCAGCAAACGCTCGATCACGATGATCGAACAGAAGCTCGATTAGTTTCCATTTTGCCTCCAAATAACACTTTCCTGGATAATACGAATCAGATAAATCTGGCTGACTTGCCTCCATTGCCCCCTCTCCCGCCTGTTCAGTGGAGGCTTGGGAAGCTCGGGGGAGATTCCATTAAGCACGAGCCATTATTCCCACTGTTATTCTCTCGCTCGGTTATTCCCAGTGATGATGACGGTTCTTTACACGAGCCTCGGATGCAAATTCATGATGAGTCCGGACAGGAAGATGAGAAGGTTGAAGAAAATTCTTGTGTGGGAGTCAATTCTGCTTGTGAGATGGTTGACTTTTTACCAAAGTGTGAAAATAAGCAACCGGAGTTAGTTTTGCCGGCTTCAGGGGTTGACCACGAGTCGACATCAACAGCGGAGGAAGTCAATGCTGCTTGTGAGAAGGTTGACTTTTCACCGAAGAGTGAAAATAAGCAGCCGGAGTTAGTTTTTCCGGCTTCAGGGGTTGGCCATGAGTTGATATCAACAGCAGAGGAAGTCAATGCTGCTTGTGAGAAGGTTGACTTTTCACCGGAGAGTGAAAATAAGCAACCGGAGTTTGTTTTACCGGCTTCAGGGGTTGACCATGAGTCGACATCAACAGCGGAGGAAGTCAATGCTGCTTGTGAGAAGGTTGACTTTTCACCGATGAGTGAAAATACGAAACAGGAGTTAGTCGAGCTGGATTCAGTGGGTGAATCCACATCAGCAGACGAGGAAAATGGAATAGGAAATGGGAGCCGAACAGAGGAACTGCCAACACGAGCCCTGATTGAAGATGTTTTTCGTGTGGAAGTCAACACAGTTCGTGAGACAGTTGACTTTTTACCAAAGAGTGAGAATAAGCAACACGAGTTAGTCGTGCCGGATTCAGGGGGTGAGTCCACGTCAGCAGACAAGGAAGACGTAAATGAAAACATTATCCAAGCTGGGAAACTGCCACGTTGTGTGGAAGTCAACGCTGTTTGTGAGACGGTTGACCTCTCGCCAAAGATTGAAACTGAGCCGCAGGATTTTGTCATGCTGGCTTCAGAGGGCGAGTCATTGTCAGCAGCCAAGGAAAACGGAATAGGAAATGGGAACCGAGCAGAGGAACTGCCAACACGACCCCTGATTGAAGATGTTTTTTGTGCGGAAGTCAACACTGTTCATGAGACAGTTGACCTTTTACCAAATAGTGAGTCCACATCAGCAGACAAGGAAGATGTTAGTGAAAATGAGATACGAGCTGAGAAACTGCCAATGTCCCTGATTGAAGAAGGTTCTCGTGCGGAAGTCAACGTTGTTTGTGAGATGGTTGACCTCTCGCCAAAGATTGAAACTGAGTCCATGTCAGCAGCCATGGAAAACAGAATAGGAAATGGGAGCCGAGCAGAGGAACTGCCTACACGACCCCCGATTGAAGATGTTTTTCATGCGGAAGTCAACACTGTTCGTGAGACAGTTGACATTTTACCAAATAGTGAGAATAAGCAACAGGAATTAGTCATGTTGACTTCAAGGGGTGAGTCCACATCAGCAGACAAGGAAAATGTTAGTGAAAATGAAATACGAGCTGAGAAACTGCCAATGTCCCTGATTGATGAAGGTTCTCGTGCGGAAGTCAATGCTGTTATTGAGACGGTTGACTTCTCACCAAAGATCGAAGAAAATAAGATCGAAGAATCCACATCAGCATCAAAGAACAATGGAATTGCAAATGGGAGCCGAACGGTGAAGCTGCCAGTGGCCCGCAATCCTGTTATCGATGAATTTGTTGCCCTCGATAAGATCAAGGTAATTTGTTTATTACTTATTATCATCTTTTACTCTTTCAGTGGGAGAAATCGTAATTTACTAATTTATGATTTTCAAACTCATTCTGCAGCTAAGGAAAGTCACGGAACAAGTCAGGCCACAGTTACAGAAGGTCGATGAAAGGAATTCGTTTTTGGAGCAAATAAGGACCAAGGTAGGATTTTAAATGGATCATATATTAAATTTGTCATAAGTGATTATTTCAGAATATAACTTATTCTTTTATTTTTTTGTTTTGTGTTTGGTCAGTCTTTCAACCTGAGACCTGCATCGACTTCACGGCCGAGCATTCGTGGTCCCAGCACGAATCTTAGAGTTGCTGCAATCGTGGAGAAAGCAAATTCGATTAGACAGGTTTCTTTTCTATTTCTTTTGTTATTTATTTCTTTTTTTTTTTATTTTCTTTTGGCCACTGCTTTGTCTTTCTCGTCTCACGTTAACAACGATAGATTCATTGACGATTGGAGTGATTGTTGCAGGCCTTCGCTGATAGTGATGAAGATGATGATAGTTGGAGTGACTCGTAGAATGTTATTACAGGGAGCAACATTTTTTAGTGCTTCAGTTTAGAAATAATTTTCTGCTAAAAAATGAAAGGAGATGTGATTTTTTATTTCTCTATAGTTCAAGATTCATTTTTTCTGCTTTTTGGTTCACTCACGAGTGGCCAATCATAGTGTTTATGTTAAAAAGTTAAAGTACATTTGACTGAATGAATGAACAGTGTTTATACATGTTCTTATATTCTGGGTAAATTTTTAAAGGTTATATTTTGTAGCTGGCGGAACAGATTTCATGCGTGAAAGCATAAATTCAGTTTGTCATTGGTTGTATACACTAGCAACTCATCTTTCCACTTTTCTACTAATTACAAACTCCTAAAAGCTGTTAAACTAACTAAGGCACTTGTGGGCTCGACTCAGCTCAATTTGAGTTCTGATAATGAGCCAAACTCGAGCTTATTTGGTTACTTGCCTCATTAGGATAAAGAAATAAGGGTTTTTAACTATTATTTTAGCTCAACTTGTTAATATTTGGATTTGACTTGACTAATGGTAATAAATAAGTCGAATTTGAGTTTTTTATCGACTCAATTAGTTAACGAGCTTGGCTAGATAAAAGTTAGAGTCCAAGCTCGAGTAATTAATTATTTAAAAGCTGTTAAACTAACCAAGGCACTTGTAGGCTTGACTCGGCTTGGTTTTCAGTTTTGATAATGTGTCAAACTCGAACTCATTTGGTTATTTGGCCCGTTAGGATCAAGAAATAGGGATTTTTAATTATTACTTTAGTTCAATTAACTAATACTTCAGTTCGGCTTGACTAATGTTGATAAATAAGTGGCAAAATAGCACCTCACATCACGACTTTATCGACTTTTGCACTTCTGTCACGACTTTTGGACTTTGGCAATTCGATACCCAACCTTTGAGTTTTTTGCAAGACCAAGCATTGACCAACTCGCCGGCCGACTGATGCCATCCTGTCCGGCAACTTAATCCAACGTGGCTCTTACGTGGAGGACGTGTCTGAGGCAACATATACATGTCAGCAAAACGACGTCGTTTCGAATTGCAACAATTACATAATAAAATCGAAAACAGATTCTAAAAACCTAACCCTAAATCAAAATCGAAATCCAAAATCTCTAAGTTCATTCATTCTTTCTTCGACCAAAATCCCAAAATTTACCTCGACAAATCCCAAAATTCTCGGCAAATCCGCATTTCGTGAAGAAAGCTTGAAATTTCTGAAGACCCCATCGAAGAACCCTAAAAATTATCGGCAGATTCCCATTGAAGATGGCAGACAGGTATGAAATAACTCTTCTTTTTTTTCTTTATTTGCTCATTATTAGTGCATTATGTTTTATTTATTCAAAATCGATAGATTAGGGTTTATATATATGTGGGGTATGTGGAGGACCTTTCTGATTTCTGAGATAAATTTTGTTAATTCTGTTTTTCAGCCAAAAATTATCAATCTTTCTAGATCACGGTGGGCGTTTTGTTATGTTGGATAATGCGATGGAGTATTTTGGAGGAGACGTTCATATCAGGCATGGTATTGATTTTGATAGGTTTGGGTACTTGGATTTAGTAGATGAAATTGAAAAACTTGGTTACACTGAGGTTGGAAAATTGTATTACAAGATCCGTGGGGAAATGGGATCGGTTACTTACATAAATATCCACAATGATGCTACTTTGATGGATATGATTGCAAATGACTTGCCAAAATTGTTTCAAAACTGGTCATAATAGGAAGTCATGTAAGAATGCCCCGGTTGAGAACCCACAAAAGGTAAAATTAATTCAAATACAATATTTTATTCAAAATTCATTAGTGAATTTCTTTTTATAATCTTTTTTTTTTNACTCAAAAGAAGCAAAAAAGTGCAGAGTCACATGGCACTGCAGCTGAGAATCCTCCACCAGCTCCCCAATCTGGTAAGAAAAAACCAAGAAGGAACCCTGTGAGGATGACTCAGACTGAACCAGCTCTTCAATCTGAAAATGATCATGGAAGTCAAATATATAGAGAAAGAAATTTGGTAACTTTTATGCTTTCTATTGTATGTTTGATTTTTACTGAAGAATATTAAAATAATTTTATACTCTTATGGACAGGCAAAAAAAGGTTATGGAGTTTTGGTGTCTGAGCAGACTGGAAATATTTACATGAGGGTATATTATCTTTAATTAGGCTTATTTTCTATTCTTGCAACTTTGTTATTAAAGTCATGTTTTTATTGTTGCTTTGCTCATGTTGACACTTGTTTCAACAGATGTCCACTGAGAAAAGGGTTCATCTTGTTCGTGGAGGATCATCATCTAGAGGTGGGAGCAGCGGCAGTGCCAACCCTAGTGGCAGTGGTAGTGGCTATGGCAGTGGCAGAGGTCAGAGAGGGAGGGTTCAAAGAGGAAGAGGTCAAAGAGGAAGGGGTCATACCACTGGCACTCAAGAGAGTACAACAAATTAGTTTTATGCATTCTTAATGGGATTGTTGGACAATATTAGGTTTTGGTAGGAAGTGTGTAACAATGATTGTTGGTTTTTGTTGGATTGTTGAACATATGTTGGTTTTGCTTGAATTGGTGAAAAGATGTTGTTTTGTTAACAGTAGGAACAAGTATGTTGGTTGGTTTTGGTTGGTTGTTGAACATATGTTTTTGTTAACATAAATATGTAATATGTTGGTTGAATTTCTGGAATTGAATGTGTTGGAATTTTTGGTGTTCTTCATTATTGGTTGTTCTTGGTATTAGTTTGGACAAAGGTTATGTTTTTGGTTGGCTGTGAACAAAGATGATGGTTTTTTGTTGGATGGATGTGTTGACAGAAGTGATGGTTTTTGTTGGTTTTAATCCAAAAGCACCTGGATAGTTTGGTGCTCTTCATTACTTATTGTTTGGTGTTATTTGTTTGGTGCTCTTCATTACTTATAGGTATGTCAATACTATGTGAATGAATTAACACAAAACATAAACACAATACACATTATCATGTCCCCTAAACAACAGAAAGAAAACCTTATCTCCACCATTGTAAAACACACATATGAATATTAATGTCTTCAGTTAACTAATAACAACAACTAAAATACATAAGTTCAGTGAAAGACACATCATCTTTCAATCATAAAACCAAGAACACAATATCATCAGCACACCTTCAACCAAAAGTCATCAACCTTCTCAACACACCCAAAGTACACCTTCAATCAAAAGTCATTAACCTTCTAAACACACCCAAAGTCACATTAACCTGCATCTACTTCAGCACTAACAGAAGAACAACACAAGCCAACATGAACATTACAAATGAAGTTGGAAACTTCTCCTTCTTAACAAGTGTGTCTATAAACTCCTCCAATTTAGCATGTTTCACCTGCAGCTCAACCATCTCTCTTTCTATGATGTCCAATCTTGAGGCCATCTCTCTTTCTATGATGTCCAATCTTGAGGTTATCATTTTGACCTCCTCTTCTTTGCATTTCAATTCATCACCCAAACCTTTCCTTTCATTCTTGAACTTCAAAAAAGCAGCCTTTTGAGATGGTGGAATCTCAGGATCACACCATAAGAAGAACTTACAGTCCTTAAACTACAATACAATCATTAGATTACAATCATCAAAATAATGACGAATTAAAAAAAAAATAGGGCAAAACCTATCCATCATGTTTCGAATTATTTCTAAAAAGTTAGGGTAAAATCTGTCCAAAAAACTTACCTTTCGATTTGGACAACGGAAGTATCTTCGACCCGGATTTGCATCAGTTTGCGAGATCAACAAAATAGCCTCATCTGGACAGTAACAACGGACTTGTGTGTGGGTTGCACTTCCATTCGAAGCTCCACTGTTGGTCGAGCTTGTTGCCATGTGTGGAGGAAGGGTCGAAGATAAAGATTGCAGTATTTTTTGCAGCTGAAGGAAAAATTTATTGTCGAAGATAGGGACACAGACTCGCAGGTCGAAGAGTAGGGGGATGAATTTAGGGATTTGATTTGAGTTGGGGATTTTTCGATTTTATTATGTAATTGTTGCAATTCGAAACGACGTCGTTTTGCTGACATGTATATGTTGCCTCAGACACGTCCTCCACGTAAGAGCCACGTTGGATTAAGTTGCCGGACAGGATGGCATCAGTCGGCCGGCGAGTTGGTCAATGCTTGGTCTTGCAAAAAACTCAAAGGTTGGGTATCGAATTGCCAAAGTCCAAAAGTCGTGACAGAAGTGCAAAAGTCGATAAAGTCGTGATGTGAGGTGCTATTTTGCCTAAATAAGTTGAATTTGAACTCGCCTATCGACTCAATTAATTAACGAGTCTGACTCAATAAAAGTTGGAGTCCGAGATCGAGTATTAAAAGCACGAGCTCAGTTTGACTAGTTTAAATCTCCATATGCTCTTAATCACTATATGAAGTAATATAATTTGTCTATATAAAATTAATGTTTAATACAAAAATTATCATGTTTTGGTGGACACCTAATAATGTTCAATTTTTTTTGCCCAAATTTCTGATTGCTTTATCAATAAATTATATATATTTAGATTGCAAAATCAACAGTCATACAAATTTAAGTTAGTTAATTCATTTTCCTAATTAAATTTATTCCACTAGTTAACACGTACACGGAACAAGATACTAGCCATTAACTTTATCAAGTCAAACTTCACATATCGTCTCTATACGACGTCGTTTGTTCTTGACCAGCTGACAATGTACTGGAAAGCAATACAGATGAATGGATTTTCACAACCCCTAATTCGGAAAAAACCATCCCAAAATCCCCCAAATTATCCCAACGCGAAAATCATGGCCGCAAAAGAAGTATAAATACTTAGGGAATTTTCATCCACTCATGGAAAAAACCATCAACCACACGGCCCATCAGAAGGCGGCGGAGGCGAAAGAACAGCGGAGGCTATAGCAGCAGCAGCAGAAAACAGGACGGCGATGGAGGCTGAGAACAGCGGCTTCGCGGCCGATAAGCGGCGGCTGCCTCTGTCGAAGGTCGTTGCCGACTGCGTCGAGCGGTGGTTCGAGGACGCGCTGAAGGAGGCGAGGGCCGGCGACATCAATATGCAGGTGCTCGTGGGCCAGATGTACTACAGTGGCTATGGCGTTCCCAAAAACGCCGGCAAGGTCTAATCTTTTCTCTCTTTCTCTTTCTGATTTTCACTGTGTGAAGGTCGGATTTCTGTGATTGATTATTGAAAAAAAAAAAAATTGATTTATTCTTTATCTATTTTTCTGCTTTTCCATTACCTTGTGATTTCTCAAGTTTATGTGGCCTTTGGAAACTTAGGGGAACCTTTGGTTTACAAGGGCTTCAAGAGTGAGGTCTTCTGTTTGGGGAGTTATCGGTAAACGTCCTGGTGAGCTCCTCAGCTTTTCCTCTATGCTCGGTAGAAGATTTGTTCGAATCGAGCTGTTCGTGAACATAGCTTGCTCGAACGAGCACTGTTTGAACAGCTAATCGAGCTCTTTATTAAAACGAGCCGAGTCGAGCTTGTACGCGAACAACTCATGTTTTTGTTTTAAAGAGAACATACTAGTTGAACATGTTCGCGAACGAATATTTCAGTGTTAGGGAACTACTCGTTTAGATATTTAGGTTTTTAAACGTGCTGAGCCGAGTTTTTATGAACTTAAACGAGCTGAGCCTTTTGTTTGTTTCTTAAATGAGCATGAGCTCGAACATGTGCTACTCGACTCGTCTCAGCTCGGATGACACCCCCAGTGCTCTGGCAATTGTGTGTTTTTGTTCTGCAAATCATACTTTTTTTTGGGTTTGTATTAAAATAAATACATTAAATTTTTTTGTAACCTGTGATTGTTGTAGGTTACAATGCGAGTGATTCGGATTCGGATGAGTTAGGCAGCGAGTCTTGATCGTTTTCTTTGTATTATACGTACAAAAGGTGAGCTGGTTTTGGAGATTTTTGTTTGCTCTTACTTTAATTTGCTCTGTTTTCATCACTTCTTGTGCTGATATTCTGTCCAATTAGGTAGTTGCTAATATGGTGGCAACTTCATTTTATTGACTCAGTTTGCTTCGTCTCTTAAGTTTAATTTTTCAGTCGCATGTCGAAAATGGTCGATCGATCGTGCTTATTTCATGCTTCTGCTGCAATTTCATGGGTTTTAATAGATATTTTGATTTCATTATGTGTTTAAGTGGGTGATTTTGAAATTGTATATCTTGTTTTCATTGTCATTACAAAATGTACGAGGAAGATGGTTGTTGTGCTTAAGAAGTGATTTTGATTTGACTTTTTCTGTTCATCTTTTGATTGATTTTGTGCTATTTTGGCTTTGGAATGTTGTTGTTGTTGTTGTTTATATATATATATATATATATATATATATACCTCACTGTGCTGAAATAAAATAAACCAATAATATACAACCTTATTAATCTGCTTTTGTTTTGCAGTGTTCTTGGATAATTTTTTTAAGCTGGCTTTTGTGGAGATCTCAGGTGCTTCATAGCCTTTGGTGTGGAAGGTGTGCTATGGGCCTCTTGTTAGTCGTTACAAATTTATGTCAATTAAGTATCAAATGTAATGACATTTTTTACAAGTTGATTGCTGGACATATA